GCCACTGGGATACTTCAGTTACGTCTGGAAGTGGTAATGAAAGTGGAGCTAAAAACAGAAGGAGTGCGTGAAAGTCTGTTTAAGATGTATTTAGATTTTCAGATCCCCTCCAAATTCTGTGGACTAGCCAACTTACCTCTTGTTTCCTGGCAAAAGACTCAGGATTATTTTTAGAAGAGGGTCTCTGGAATGGCAAAGTATAGGCAAAATTGAGATTAGGAAGCCTATATTAGAACAGGGTTCAATTTCCATCCATCTTGCTGCAAATGGCATTATTTCATTCTTTTTAATGTCTGAGTAATATTCCATTGTATATATGTACCACATCTTCTTAATTCATTCCTCCATTGATGGACATTTAGATTGCTTCCAGGTCTTGGCTATTGTAAACAGTGCTACAATGAACACTGAGGTTCATCTATTCTTTTAGACCATCTTTTTCTCCAGATGTATGCTCAGGAGTGAGATTGCAGGGTCATATGGTAGCTCTACTTTTAGCCTTTTAGGGAAACTCCATACTGTTCTCCATGGAGGCTGTACCAATTTACATTCCCACCAGAAATGTAGGAGGGTTCCCTTCTCTCCACACCCTTTCCAGCATTTACTGTTTGTGGATCTTTTGATGATAGCCATTTTGACTGGTGTGAGGTGATATTTTATTGTAGTTTTGATTTGCATTTCTCTAATAGTGATGTTGAGCATCTTTTCATATGCCTCTTGGCCATCTGTATGTCTTCTTTGGAGAAATGTCTATTTATATCTTCTGCCCAATTTTTTTTATTGGACTGTTTGTTTTGATGATATTAAGCCTGATGAGCTGTTTGTAAATTTTGGAGACTAATCCTTTGGGAAAGGAGTACATGAAAGCTGTATATTGTCACCCTGTTAATTTAACTTATATGCAGAGTACATCATGCGAAATGCTGGGCTGGATGAAGCACAAGCTGGACTCAAGATTTCAGGCAGAAATATCAATAACCTCAGATATGCAGATGACACTACCCTTATGGCAGAAAGTGAAGAGGAACTAAAGAGCCTCCTGATGAAGGTGAAAGAGGAGAGATAAAAAGCTGGCTTAAAACTCAACACTCCAAAAACAAAGATCAAGGAATCTGGTCCCATCACTTCATGGCAAATAGATGGGGAAACAATGAGAGACTTTATTTTCTTGGGCTCCAGGATCACTACAGATGGTGACTGCAGCCATGAAATTAAAAGACGCTCCTTGGAAGAAAGGCTATGATAAACCCAGACAGCATATTAAAAAACAGAGACATCACTGCCAACAAAAGTCTGTATAGTCAAGAATATGGTTTTTCAAGTAGTCATGTATGGATGTGAGTTGGACCATAAAGAAAGCTGAGCACCGAAGAATTGATGCTTTTGAACTGTGGTGTTGGAGAAGACTTTTGAGAGTCCCTTGGACTGCAATGAGATCAAACCAGTCAATCCTAAAGGAAATCGATCCTGAATATTCATTGGAAGGACTGCTGTTGAAGCTGAAGCTCCAATACTTTGGCTACCTGATGCAAAGAGCCGACTCATTGGAAAAGACCCTGATGCTGGGAAAGATTGAAGGCAGGAGGAGAAGGGGATAACAGAGGATGAGATAGTTGGATGGCATCACCGACTCAATGGACATGAGTTTGAGCCAGCTCCAGGAGATGGTAACGGACAGGGAAGTCTGGCCTGCTGCTGTCCACGGGGTTGTGAAGAGTCAGACACGACTGAACAACTAAACAACAACAATCCTTTGTCAGTCACCTCATTAGCAAATATTTTCTCTCAATCTGTGGGTTGTTTGTTTATGGTTTCCCTTGCTGTGCATAAACTTTTGAGTTTAATTAGGTCTGATTTATTTTTGCTTTTGTTTCCATTATTATGGAAATTGGGTCCAAAAAGATACTGCTGCAGTTTATGTCAGAGAATGTTTTGTCCATGTTTCCCTCTAAGAGTTTTATAGTGATCCAATTTCATTTTTTTACATGTAGCTGTCCAGTTTTCCCAGCATCATTGTGTAGTCATGTCCCCTTTGTCATAGATTAATTGACCATAGGTGCATGGGTTTATTTCTGAGCTTTCTATCCTATTCCATTAGTCTATATTTCTATTTTTTTGCCAATACCATACTGGTTTGATGACTATAGCTTTGTGGCCTAGAGTTTTTCATACTGAGTAAAGTAAGTCAGACAAAGGGATATTGTGATATCCTTTATAGTAGAATCAAAAAAAGAAATGATACAAGTGAAATGATACAATGTTTTCGATTTAGAAAACAGAGTCACAGACTTGTAGAATGAACAAACATGGTAACCTGGAGGAAGGGATAGTGACAGAGTTTGGGATGGATATGTACACACTGCTATATTTAAAATGAATAACCAAGAAGGACCTAATGTATAGCACAGGGAACTCTGTCCATTGTTATGTGGCAGCCTGGACTGGAGGGGAGTTTGGGGGAAAATGGATACATGTATATGTATGGCTGAGTTGCTCTGTTGTGCACCTGAAACTATCACAACATTGTCAATCAGCTATACTCCAATACAAAATAAAAAGTTAATAAAAGAGAGAACATGTTCAAACAGATTATTAGTCTCCTGAAGAAAGTCTAACATGAAAGATAAAGAGTGACGAGAAGAAACTTGAAGGAAACTATGCAATAAGAGGAAACTTTTTTTTTAAAGTTATTAACCATTTCTCAGAAGAAAGAAATCTTTAGATGATTTCAAGATATATTCATGAAACAAAAACAGAATACTATTTTTAAAAGAACAAAAAATGTGCTCTTGGGGAAAAATACTTTAGCAGAAATGAAAAACTTGCTAGAAGGATGGACAATATGTTTGAAGAAATCTTCCAGGAAGTAAATCCAAATAATTAATATGTATCAAGGGAAAGAAAGGGGGTTGGGGAATAGGAAAGAAACAAGAAAAAAAAGAACTCCAGACCAGAAGAGCTAATTTCAAAATAATAGAGATTCCAAAAACTACAGGAGAAAAAGGAGAGATGTGATCAAAAAGTAAAGAAAAATCCCCAGAACTGAGGTTTATAAATTTCTAACTAGAGCAAGGGCAGAAGAATGCCTGGCACTTTCAAGGAACAGCAAGGAGGCTGGTGCGCCTTGACTAGAGTGCATGAAGTGAGAGTGGAAGAAGCCAGAGAGTTGACAGGGACAACACGTAAGGAAGCTAAGGATTTGGACTTTTACTCTAAGATAAGGAATCATTGCAGTCTTCCCTGGTGGCTCTGTGGTAAAGAACCTGCCTGCCAATGCAGAAGAGAGAGTTCAATGTGGGTCAGGAAGACCCCCTGGGGGAGGAAATGGCAACCCACTCCAGTATTCTTGCCTGAAAAATCCCATGAACAGAGGAGCCTAGCAGGCTATAGTCCACGGGGTCACAAAAGAGTTGGACATGACTTAGTGACTAAACAACAACAACAAAGGAATCATTGCAGAATTTTGAGCTGAGGAATGATATGGTTTGACTTAGATTTTTAAACTTTTATTTTGAAATTATAAAGACTGTTGCAAAGATAGTTCAGGAGATCTCATGTTCACACAGCTTCCTATAATGGATGAATCTTCTTAATTATAATACAATATTATAGCATAGTTTGTGTGTGTAATCAGGAATTTAACTTTTATTTTTGCATTGTTGTGTTTATGTCATTTTATCATGTGTAGATTCATATAACCACCACAATCAAGATATGGAACTATTCCATTGCCATATGGATCTCTCTCATGTTTCCCCTTTATAGTTATACTTCTCACTTCCCCTGCCACCATCCCTAATCATTACCAAACATTAATAATCTTTTTTTCCATTTCTATAATTGTCATTTCCAGAGCATCATATAAGTGGAATCATACAGTATATCACATTTTAAGATTGATTTTTCTCATTCAGCATAATGACCCTGGAACCCATTCAAGTTGTATGCACCAAGAGTTTACCACTTGCTGAATAGTATTCAATGGCACAGATGTATCAATTTGTTTAAACCATTTACACTCTGACATACAACACATGACTGGCTTTTCCTCAACATAATGACCTTAAGGCCCATACAAGTTGTGTATATCAAAAGTTCATTTCCAGTGTTTGGTTATTAAATAATAAATAAAGCTGTTATGAACATATGTGTACAAGTTTTTGTGCAGACATTTTCATTTCATTAGGGTAAATGTTCAGGAGTCAAATTCCTGGGTCATGTGATAAGTTTTTTAGGAAACTGAAAAGCTGTTTACCAGAGTGGCTGTATCTTTTTACATTCCCACCGGGAATGTATGACAGAATTAGTTTCTCAGTTTTGTCAGCATTTGGCATTTTCATTATTTTTTTATTTTAGCTGTTCTAATAGGTGTGTAGAGATGTCCCAACATAGGCACAATTTGCATTTCCCTAATGGCTAATGACATTAGACATCTTTTCACATGCTTATTTGCCATCTATATATCCTCTTCAGTGACATCTGATTTTTTTTACATGTGTTTTAATGTTGAGTTTTGATAGTTCTTTATATATTCTAGATATGAGTCCTTTGTCAGATTTGTGGTTTGCAAATATTTTCTCCCAGTCTTTAGTTTGCCTTTTAATCCTCTAAACAGGGTATTAGAACAAAATGTTAATGCAATTTATCAAAATTTTTCTTTTTTTGTTTTTGGTGTCATGTTAGGAATGTGTTCACTTTATGAAAATGTCTTTGTGTGTGTGTGTGTGTGTGTTTCAATATATTTTATTCACAAAAACAAGCAATAGTCCAGATTTTGTCCAAGGACTGCAAAATGCCAACCACTGATCCCGAGGATACTCAGGAGACAACCTGGCTGTTGAGGGGACTAAGCTTCTCTGTGAGACAGAAACTTCTCAGGTCTGGTGCTTTACTGAGAGTTGCACATGGGTGTAGAATACAGCACTGCATGTGTGGAGTTTCTGACCAAGTGGCAGGAGCTGAGGCCCCAAAGTGAAGGCTGCACTGGAATAGGTAGAACCTTTTCCTTCATCAGAAACACCAACTGCTTTATTTCAGATCAGACCCAACCCCTTTACTTCCATGGTCCCTGGGTGGGTATTGTCCTCATTGGGACCTCAGGAGCCCTTGTGCTGTGGCTTGACCACCAGCCCCTCTCTGGTGATAGCCCAATTGTAGCTCTTGGGGGAATCCAAAGCTTCTTCCACCCGTGCCTCCAGATTCTCTCGGGTGATGAAGTTTTTTGCGTCCTCCTGCAGCTGCAGCACTTCCCGCTCCTTGAGCTGGGCCCAGGCCTCCACCTCTCGGGCTTCCAGGGCCGCCTCCTCCGCTTGCCGCCGCTCCTGCTCCCGTGCCTCCTGCCGCAGCCTGGCCATCCGCAGCTCATGCAGCCGCTGGTTCTCCGCCTGGTTCCAGGCCATCAGCTCGCGGTGCTCAGCGGCATCCTGCAGCGCCTTGCGCTCTGCCAGGACACCAGCCCGGGCCTCGTGCGCTTTCCTGCGTACCTCGGTCACGAACTCCTGCCTGAGGGCGCGCACCGTCTGGCGGTACTGCTGGTAACGCTCCGTCAGCACGAAGAATTCCGCAGGATCCACGGCGGGAGGGGTCGCCACGTGCCCGATCTTGGACTTGGCCGGCGGGTCGTGGCGGGTTTTTCGGCCGCGCGCGAGGAGCAGAAAATGGGCTGGAGGGCGGCCTAAGGGCCGCGCGCCGCCCACTTTATGACAATTTCTTAATCTGGACATTTAGAGTTTGTGCCTGTCTCTTTATATATATTATACTTATTATATTTCAATTTAAAATTAAATAAAATGCTAAAAATATTTAAAGACCCTCAACAAGGACTTTCCTTGTGGTTCAGTGAATAAGAATCTGCCTGCCAATGCAGGGGACACGGGTTTCATCCCTGGTTTGGGAAGATCCCACATTTCTCAGAGCAACTAAGCTCATGCACCACAATTACTGAAGCCCATGCACAACTACTGAGCCTGTGTGCTGCAACTACTGAAGCCCACATGACGAAAGCCTGTGCTGGGCAACAAGAGAAGCCACCACAATGAGAAGCCTGTGCACCACAACGAAGAGTAGCCCCCATACCCTGCAACTAGAGAGAGCCCACGCACAGCAATGAACACCTAGTGCAACAAAAAATGAATAAATAAATAAATAAAACCCCTCAGCAACATGTCAATTCTCTCCAAATTGTTCTATAGATATAATGTAATTTCTTTCAAAATGCCAGCAAGATATGTTCAGGCACAGGAAAGCTTATTCTAAAATTTGCATGAAAAGGCACAGGCCCTAAAATAGATAAACAATTTTGAAAAGAAGACTGGAGTGGGAGGAATAACTCTATTTGATATTAAGGATTACTATATAGCTACAATTAAAATAGTATGGTATTAGTGGAAGTATAAAAGCATAAGATTAATGGAATAGAATAGAGATTGCATAAATAGACCCACACAAGTATGGCCACTTGAATTTTTACAAAAGGGCAAAGGTAATTCAACAGAGAAAGGAGAGTTCTTTCAACAAGCAATGTTGGTACAATTGAACACTTCATAGGCAAAAAAAGAACTTTAACCTAACCTCTTACAGTATACAAAAATATCTCAAAATGGATCATAGATCTAAATGTAAAACATTTTTAAAAATATAACATAGGAGAAAATTTTCATGACCTAGGGTTAATCAAAGAATTCTTAAACATAACAATTCATAAAATAAGTAAAATTGATAAATTGGAATTTATCAACATTAAAAACTGTTGCTCAGTAAAAGGTACTAATAATAAAAAGATAAGCTAAGACTGGGAGAAAATATTTGCAAATCACATATCCAACAAATAATTTGTATCCTAAACATACAAAAAGCTCTCAAAGCTCAATAGTAAGCAAACAACCCAATAAAAAATGTCAAATGATTTCAACAGGCACTTCACCAAAGAGGAAGTATAAGATGGCAAATTAGCACAAATGGAAGCACTGTGTTGTGTGTAGTAGCCATCTTTTTTTCTCATTATTAATCCTAAACTCCAAGTCCTTCCCTCCCTCATCCCTTCCGCTTGGCAACCACAAGTTGTTCTCTATGTCTGTGAGTCTGTTTCTGTTTTGTAGATAGGTTCATCTGTGCAATATTTTAGATTCCATAAGTGGTATTTGTCTTTTTCTGACTTAGTATGATAATCTTTAGTTGCACCCATGTTACTGCAAATGGCATTATTTTGTTTTTTTAATGACTGAATAATATTTCATTGTATATATGTACCACATCATTTTTATCTATTCATCTGTCAATGGACATTTAGGTTGTTTCCATATTCCGGCTACTGTGAATATTGTTGCTATGAACATAGGTGGGTATGTATCTTTTTTTTTTTTTGGTTTTTATTTTAATTGGAGGCTAATTACAATATTGTAGTGTTTTTTGCCATACACTGACATGAATCAGCCATGGGTGTACATGTGTTCCTCATCCTGAAGCCCCCTCCCACCTCCCTTCCCATCCCATCCCTCAGGGTCATCCCAGTGTACCAGCCCTGAGCACCCTGTCTCATGCATTGAACCTGCACTGGCAGTCTATTTCACTTATGATAATATACATGTTTCAATGCTACTCTCTCAAATCATCCCACCCTCGCCTTCTCCCACAAAGTCCAAAAGTCTGTTCTTTACATCCGTGTCTCTTTTGCTGTCTCGCATATAGGGTCATCGTTACCATCTTTCTAGATTCCATATATGTGTGTTAATATACTGTATTGGTGTTTTTCTTTTTGACCTTTTTGAATTATAGTTCTGGGTATATACCCAGGAGTGAGACTGCTGGATCATACGCTGATTCTATTTTTACTTTTCTGAGGAACATCCACATTATTTCTCACAGGGGCTGCACCAACTTACATTTCCACCAACAGTTTAGGAGGGTTCCCTTTTCTCCACACTCTCTCCAGCATTTATCATTTGTGAACTTTTCAGTGATGGCCATTCTAACCAGTGTAAGGTGGTATCTCATTGTATTGACAGCTTTGATTTGCATTTCTCTAATAATTAGTGATACTGAGCATCTTTTCATGTGCCTACTGAGCATCTGCATGTCTTCTTTGGAGAAATGTCTATTAAGATCTTCTGTTCATTTTTAAATTGGGTTTTTAGCTTTTTTGTTACTGAGTTGTATGAGCTATTTGTATATTTTGGAGATTAAGCCTTTGTCTCTCACACCATTTGCAAATATTTTCTCCCATTCTGTAGGTTATCTCCTCACTTTTTTTTTTAATGGTTTCCTTTGCTGTTGTGCGCAGCCATCTTTTAACCATGAAGAAATATCCCAAAGACAAAGCTAACACATACAGAAGAGAGATCTGAAGTAATCAGAACCAAAGCTCTGATGAAACTGTGCCTAAAATCCACATACTTCTAGACTTTTCCATTACATAAGCCAATGTCCCATGCTTGACCTGCATTTTCTGTTACTTGGAACTTAAAATATCTTTGTGTCTACCATTCATGTTACCAAAGTCAACATCATTCCTCTCACCTCCAGGAAATTTTTCATGGCTGTTAACGGTTCTTCCTCCCTTTTTCCTTTGAGCTCCTCCAGTCCCTCCAAAGTCTGAGCCACTTGCTTTATCTCTTCCTTCTCCACCCACCTACACACACTCCAAACACTTGCAGAACTTTTGTGCTGTTTTATCTCATTTTCCATTCTTTCCTGTTATAGCACTGACCCTGGTACAACATTCAACATCTGTTACATAGAATTATGACTATGTTTCTGTCTTCCTCACAAGATTGTTAGTTCCTGAGGGCCTGGCAGTCCCTTGAGTCAATTCCTCTCTGCCTCACCATTTCATGCATTGATGAGGCCCAGGAAGGGGAGAGGAGGGAGGCTGAAAGGCATCTATCCATTCAAGCTTGTTTACTAAAGCTTGTGTATCCCCCATGACTACCTGCCTTTGTGATTTTGCTGAAAAGAGAAGCCATCCAGTTTCTCTCCACCCGGATCACCTATTTTCAAATTTTATCCTTTCAAACAAGGCCTACTGTGGAAGGGAGAAGGGTTGTGACTGGAAAGAAACATGTGGGAACTTTCTGGGTGGATGGTAATGTCCTGTGTCTTGACAGGGGTGTTCATTACACAGGTATATATACATTTATCAAAACATGAAATTATACTCAAGGTATATGCACTTCATTGTGTGAATATTTTAGCTAAAAAAGAATCACAAACACATTGAACTTTAGTTTATGGCATGCATGCAGAAATGTTTAAGGGAATGTGTACAGGTATCAAATTTTGAAATGCATAAAAATAAGATGGGCTGATGGATGGATAGAGGGATGAATAGATATAATAGGTTTGACAAAGCAAGTGTAGTAAAACACTAATTGTAGAATCTAGATGGTAGATATATGGGTGTTCACTGTACAATTACTTTGACTTTCTGAATGTTTGAAAATGTTATAGTAAAATATCAAGGGGAAAAAAGGGAAGGGTGGGTTAACACCTCTAGCATCTTCATAACCACTGCCCTGGGTTAGACCTCACTGCATCTTAACTGGAATCTTGCAACCACCTTCACACTGGCCTCCACACTAATCTGCTTTTGTCTCTCCCCACCCCAAGGATCACCAGAAAAAACATCCTGGAGCATAAACTGGACCTCTATGATCATGTTCCTGCCAACTCTTCTGTTTCATCCCCCAACATGTGCCATCTAACCCCAGCCTGTACACCAACCCAACTCAAAAGCTTATAGTTCCACCTACACGCCAAGAAGCTTTGATTTTCTACTTTTGCTTATAATGCCATTGCAACTCATTCTTCTGCCTTCTCTTGCCTGGTGAATACCCTTCAATAGTTAACTCAGGTGTTCTTTCTTTCTTGAAGTCTTTCCTGATCCTCAGACTAGGTTTGGTCTGCTTCATGCTCTCATAGCATCCTATACTAATTTGTAACATAGTATTTATCCTAGCATTGCTGTACTTGGATTTCCAAGTCTGGGTACTAAACCACATACATGTGTCTTAGGATCAAGTCCTCCAAAGGCATGTACAGGGCCTGACACAAAAGCTTTGATAAATCACTGTAGAATGGAACCAATGATATTGAACTGGCATGAATGATAATCTGGCACCTTTCAACAACTTTGTGTCATAGATTTAGTTGTATTTCCTCTAAAAGAGTGTAAGGCTTACCATACTAATTAACTCAGTCATCTCTCTATGTCCTTAAAACATGTTCCTCATGAAGCCAACTTGATTTTCCACCTCAGGTTGAAATATTCTCTCCAATTCCCTTAAGGTTTGCTTTCTCTGTAATCTTTGTTAAGATTATAGGCCTTGTTGGTAGTGGTCCTGCTCAGTCGCTCAGTTGTGTCTGACTCTTTGTGGCCCCATGGACTGTAACTTGTCAGGCTCCTCTGTCCATGGGATTCTCCAGGCAAGAATACTGAAGTGGATTGCTATTTCCTCCTCCAGGTGATCCTTCCCGACCCAGGGATCAAACCCATGTCTCCTGCATTGGTAGGTGGATTCTTTACCACTAAGCCACCTGGGAAACATCCAGGCATTGTTGTGCACATTTTAACTGGGAAAAATTAAACTTGATTTACCTGAATGTCAGGCATAGAATTAAGTTCTTTAAAGACACTGATAGGGTTAATGACACTCTCAACAATCCTCTATCTTCATTTTTATAAATGATGAAACTGAGTCAAGGGAACATGAAGCAACCTGCTCAAGAT